ACATACATACATACATGCATATATACATATATACATACATACATACATGCATATATACATATATACATACATACATACATGCATATATACATATATACATACATACATACATACATGCATATATACATATATACATACATACATACATACATGCATATATACATATATACATACATACATACATACATATATACATATATATGTATACATACATACATACATACATATATACATATATATGTATACATACATACATACATACATATATGCATATATACATATATACATACATACATACATACATACATACATACATACATACATACATACATACATATATACATACATGCATATATACATATATACATACATACATACATGCATATATACATATATACATACATACATACATACATGCATATATACATATATACATACATACATACATACATGCATATATACATATATACATACATACATACATACATACATACATACATACATGCATATATACATATATACATACATACATACATACATACATACATGCATATATACATATATACATACATACATACATACATACATACATACATACATACATACATACATACATACATGCATATATACATATACATACATACATACATACATACATGCATATATACATATATACATACATACATACATACATACATACATACATACATACATACATACATACATACATACATACATACATACATACATACATACATACATACATACATACATACATAGATACATACATACATACATACATATACATACATACATACATACATACATACATACATACATACATACATACATACATACATACATACATACATACATACATACATACATACATACATACATACATACATACATACATGCATATATACATATATACATACATACATACATGCATATATACATATATACATACATACATACATACATACATACATACATACATACATACATACATACATACATACATACATACATACATACATACATACATACATACATACATACATACATACATACATACATACATACATACATACATACATACATACATACATACATACATACATACATACATACATACATACATACATACATACATACATACATACATACATACATACATACATACATACATACATACATACATACATACATACATACATACATACATACATACATACATACATACATACATACATACATACATACATACATACATACATACATACATACATACATACATACATACATACATACATACATACATACATACATACATACATACATACATACATACATACATACATACATACATACATACATACATACATACATGCATATATACATATATTCATACATACATACATACATACATGCATATATACATATATACATACATACATACATACATACATACATACATACATACATACATACATACATACATACATACATACATACATACATGCATATATACATATATACATACATACATACATACATACATGCATATATACATGATGTCTGGCATGCAATTTCCCGCTTCTGTGATGAGACGTCTTCCTATAGCTATTGCATGATGTAACTTTGAAATATGTCTTCCTCATGTTTTCTTTTTCGTCTTCTTGTTTTTCCTTACTCGTGTGTTTCGTAATTTATTTCGACTAAGCATCTTTCCCTATTTTTATTTCCATCTTCCACTTTCTTAGCATCGTCTTTCTTATCATGAACTCTATCTTTTCCTCATCTTTATCAATATTATAATTTTCCATATTTTTTTCCTTCCCATTCTTCCTCCACTTTTCCTTTCCAACATTATCACCATTTCCTTAACCTCTTCCTTTTCCTCCTCAACCTCCTTCTCCACCATCATCACGTCTTCCTCAACCTCCTCCTCCTCTTTCTCCACTATCGGTTCCTCCTGCTTCCCTTCCTCTTTCGCCATCGTCTCCACCTCGTCTTTCTCTTCCTCTTCATTCTCCATCACCAGTATTTCCTCCTCCTCTTCTACCGTATATATATCTCTCTCTCCTTCTCCTACTCCTCCACCGTCACCACCACTTCTTCCTCCTCCTCCTCCTCTTCCTCCTTTTTCTACACCGCCATCACCACCACCACCACCACCTCCTCCTCCTCCCTCACCTCCACCACCATCACCACCACTCCCTCCACCACCATCTCCTCCTCCTCCCCCCATCACCACCACCTCCTCTCCCCCCCCCCATCACCATCACCACTACTCCCTCCACCACCTCCTCCTCCTCCTCCCCCCCCATCACCACCACCACTCCCTCCACCACCATCTCCTCCTCCTCCCCCCATCACCACCACCTCCTCTCTCCCCCCCCCCCATCACCATCACCACCACTCCCTCCACCACCTCCTCCTCCTCCTCCCCCCATCACCATCACCACCACTCCCCCCCCCTTAACCATCACCATGCCCAACCATCACCTCTTCTCCAAGGCCTCAATACCAAAGGGAAACGCTATACCCTTGGCATCATAACTGTCATGCACCGAATTAAAGCGGAAAGTCATGAAGACGTCGGTGCAGTCATGACGAGCATTCGCATGAGACTTACGGCCAATTCCGCGAAAGCACCGCCATTTTTCGTTCCTGCTTCGCGAAATCCGAGAATGATGACTCGGTTATTTTTATTTAGCTGTTTATTTATTTTACTTGTTTTATTTACTGATTGATTATTATTGTATATATATATATATATTTTTTTTTTACTAATTTCATTTCATTTATTGACTGATTTTTTTATTTATTTTATTTACTGATTGATTATTTTTTACTTATTTTATTTACTGAGTGGTTATTTTTTTAACTTATTCTATTTATTGATTGATATTCCTTTACTGATTTACTGATTCTTTATTCTCTTTGATTCACCTTTCTTATTTACTAATTCTTTTTTTTAGTTTATTATTTTTCGTTTTTCTTTTTTTTATTAATCTCTTTTATTTACTTATCTTTCCTGTTTTATCTATTTTTTTCTATTTCTATCTTATAATCTCTTATCTTCCTTTTCTTTTTTTTTATCACATCCCCCCCCGCCTCAAATTTACCTTTTTTTCTTCTTCATCTTTTTCTAATTCACCTTGAATTTCTTGTCCAAATTTACCTTTTTTTTCTTCATCATCTTTTTCTAATTTACCTTGAATTTCTTGTCCAAATTTACCTTTTTTTTTCTTCTTCTTCTTTTTCTAATTCACCTTGAATTTCTTGTCCAAATTTACCTTTTTTTTTCTTCTTCTTCTAACTCGCCCTTGAGTTTCTTGTCCTCGTCTATATTTGCGGTAGGTCGCTAAAAAAAGCAAAACGCAGGTTGATGAATGTGCTGGGAGACCTACTCGTCAGGAGGAGAAACAGATGGATGAATTTGTGGGTAAATGTGTAAGGCTGGTCGGTGGGAAGACAGAGATGGATAGAGGGAGAGGGAAACAGAGCGGGAAGGAGGGAAAGGGAGAGTGAAACAGAGCGGGAAGGAGGGAGAGGGAGAGGGAGAGGGAAACAGAGCGGGAAGGAGGGAGAGGGTGAGGGAAACAGAGCGGGAAGGAGGGAGAGGGAGAGGGAAACAGAGCGGGAAGGAGGGAGAGGGAGAGGGAGAGGGAAACAGAGCGGGAAGGAGGGAGAGGGAGAGGGAGAGGGAAACAGAGCGGGAAGGAGGGAGAGGGAGAGGGAGAGGGAGAGGGAAACAGAGCGGGAAGGAGGGAGAGGGTGAGGGAAACAGAGCGGGAAGGAGGGAGAGGGAGAGGGAGAGGGAAACAGAGCGGGAAGGAGGGAGAGGGAGAGGGAGAGGGAAACAGAGCGGGAAGGAGGGAGAGGGAGAGGGAGAGGGAGAGGGAAACAGAGCGGGAAGGAGGGAGAGGGAGAGGGAAACAGAGCGGGAAGGAGGGAGAGGGAGAGGGAAACAGAGCGGGAAGGAGGGAGAGGGAGAGGGAGAGGGAAACAGAGCGGGAAGGAGGGAGAGGGAGAGGGAGAGGGAAACAGAGCGGGAAGGAGGGAGAGGGAGAGGGAGAGGGAAACAGAGCGGGAAGGGAGAGGGAGAGGGAGAGGGAAACAGAGCGGGAAGGAGGGAGAGGGAGAGGGAAACAGAGCGGGAAGGAGGGAGAGGGAGAGGGAAACAGAGCGGGAAGGAGGGAGAGGGAGAGGGAGAGGGAGAGGGAAACAGAGCGGGAAGGAGGGAGAGGGAGAGGGAAACAGAGCGGGAAGGAGGGAGAGGGAGAGGGAAAGGGAGAGGGAAGGAGGGAGAGGGAGAGGGAAAGGGAGAGGGAGAGGGAAACAGAGCGGGAAGGAGGGAGAGGGAGAGGGAAAGGGAGAGGGAAACAGAGCGGGAAGGAGGGAGAGGGAGAGGGAAACAGAGCGGAAAGGAGGGAGAGGGAGAGGTAAACAGAGGGGGAAGGAAGGAGAGGGAGAGGGAAACAGAGCGGGATGGAGGGAGAGGGAGAGGGACAGAGAGAGGGAAAAAGAACAGAAAGGAGGGAGAGAGGAAGAGGCAGTGAGAGATGGAGAAAGAGAGGGAAGGAGGGAGGGGTAGTGAGAGATGGAGATGGAGAGGTAGGGGTGGGGGTGGGGGTGGAGGTAGAGGTACAGGGAAAGGGAGATGGAGAGGGGGAGAGGGAGAGAGGGAGGGAGGGAGGGAGGGAGAGAGAGAACGAGAGGCACATCGAGAAAGACAGACAGAGAGAGAGAGAAGGGAAACTTAAAAGAGAAAAAAACAAATTTTATTTGTTCGTTCTCCGCTTTTCGTTCAATTACCACCTTTGTCATCTCCAGTACCTACTCGGCGCACACACAAACAAATACACATACAAACAAAGTAAAAAAAATAACACACACACACACAGAAACTGTATTTACCTAACCAAATTGAGATAAGACAACAATATAATCACAACTATAAGTACAATAAACTCATTCATTCTACATACGCGTTTCTATTGATGTCTTCAGAAGGCTCAAGGGACCTGCAGTTGATGACGTCACGGGGTTATAGCAATGACGTCACGTAGTTACACCAATGGCAATACGAAGATCCAACGATGACGTCACAACAGGGAGAAGAACGTCAGGGATTGGTTGGAAGCAGACGTCCGTCGTCGTGATGACGTCATGACACGAATGCGCGTGGAGAAACAGTGAAGAAGACACACGCGTTAGTATCACAGCCGAAGAAACAGTGAAGGGTTTGTCAAGAAGTACTTTTTTCTTGAGTGTGACAGGCTTGACAAGTGAACATATTTTTCATCATATAGAAAACGCTGAAAAAGCTTGTAAGTTTTTTCAAGCATATATTTCCTTCTTAAGAAAAAAACAGAAGGAAAAGCCTGTCAAGGAAGCTTTCGTTTTCTTTAAGAGGATAACTGTCAAGATTTTTTTTTGTTCTGAGAAGATGTTTGTCATGTCTACTTTTGTCTTCAGTGAAACAGTGAAAAGACTTGTCAAGGATATTTTTTCTTCTTCACTGCTATGTAGCGAAGCATTAATCCAGCGAGTCAAGAGGCGAAGATAATATGAAGAAAAAGGAAGGAAGGAAGGAAGGAAGGAAGGAAGGATGGATGGAAGAAGAAGAAGAAAAAAAGAAAAGAAGATGAAGAGGAAGAAAAAAGATGAAGAAGAAAGAGAAGAAGAAAAGGAATAAGAAAAAGATGATGAAAAAGAAGAAAAGGGATAAGAAAAAGAAGAAGAAAAGGAATAAGAAAAAGAAGAAAAGGAATAAGAAAAAGAAGAAGAAAAGGAATAAGGAAAAGAAGAAGAAAAAGAAGAAAAAAAAGAAGAAGAAAAGGAATAAGAAAAGGAAGAAGAAAGGGAATAAGAAAAGAAGAAGGAGAAGAAAAGAAAGAAGGAAAAAGAAGAAACAGCGAAGGACCAAGGAAGTGAGAATATATTTTCTTTCCAAAAGAAGCAAGAGGCGAAAAAAATATATATCCGTCTTGGAAGAAGTGGCGAAGGACGAGGGAAAGACATTTATTTAATCTTATTAAAGTTAAGACATCTAAGTTCAAATGTTAGGATGTCAAAATCAAGTAAAATGTATTTATATCTAATTCATATCCCAATAAAATCAAGAATGAGTATAGTTCGAATGAAATGAATGTCAACTCACAGTGACATCGTCAACATTTTAGATAAAATATATTGATTTCCATAAAATCCTTATTCTCTCTCTCTCTCTCTCTCTCTCTCTCTCTCTCTCTCTCTCTCTCTCTCTCTCTCTCTCTCTCTCTCTCAAGCACAATCACTCACTCGCACACTCACCCACATACACACACACATATTTACATACACACACACACACACTCACACACACTCGCACACTCACCCACACCCACATCCACACACACACACACACACACACACACACACACACACACACACACACACACACACACACACACACACACACACACACACTCGCACAGTCACCCACATACACATACACACAAACACACACTTTTCCACGCCTCCCCCCCCCCCCCTATACACATTACATACAACAACACCCAGAGATACTCACAGCACGCCGCCTCCCCTGGGTATGTTGCTCTCCTTCAGATGCATAGCCAGTTCCTGTAGAGAGAGAGAGAAAAAAAAATACAATTAAATGATGTTTTGACGTAAATAGACGGTTTGTGAGTTCGTCGTTGTAGGGTGATAATTATTAATGCTGCGTTTAAGATGCGTTTTTTTCCAGAAAGAAAGAAAAATCTGAATTGTAACGTTGCAGATGTATTTAACTTGTTATTAGATACGGTAAAACATATCGTAGGAAAAGTCTTAAATGTATGAATTCATATACCGAAGTTATGAAGTAAGAAAAAGGCTACAAAAATTAGTTATGAAAAAAGAAAAACTATAAAAGTTATTCTTTGAAAGCTATATCACACTTTAGTCTCCGTCTCATAGGCTTTGAGAGAATAAAGTTTTTTTATAAGTTACCCCAAGAAAACAGGCAGTTTCCATGCTGGCAAAAAAGAAGGAAAAAAAAAGAAAAAGAAAAAAGGAAAGAAAATGTGTTAAGTAAGACAGAAATCGCAGCTTCGTCTCTCCACCTGGTTAAGACATGACGGGAAAATAAGGGCCGTAGACATAGAGCGATTGGGAGAATGCGAAGTATAAATATATGGCTGATACAGACTCCGAAAATACCCAAGGCCCTGATGTCTGCCAAATATTTGACATTTGAAGTCACAGCTCAGATAAAGAGAACGAATTTAATATGCAACACGAATGCACGCACGTTTTCAAAGGCACATATGCAGATACAACAGACAGATATTGAAACACGTGCACACGCCCACGCACATATATATGCACAAAAGCAAAGACATACAAATATACACATACGTATAGAAACACACAAACAACGACCATTTATCTTCCTCCTTCCTCCTCCTCCCTCTTCTTCTTCCTCTTCTTCTTCTTCTCCTCTTCCTCCACATCCTTCTCCTCCTTCCTCTTCCTCCTCCCCCTCCTTCCTCCTCCTCCTCTTCCACCTCCTCTTCCACCACCACCACCTCCACCTCCACCAACACCACCACCACCTCCTCCTCCTCCTCCTCCTCTTCTTTCTCTTCTTCCTCCTCCTCCCTTCTTCCTTCCTTCCTTCCTTTCTTCCTTCCTTCCTTCTCCCTCCTCTTTCTCCTCCTCCTCCACCAAACTCAGAAAGGATCATCAAAGGAGAAAGTTCGTTAAGCTCTCCAGCGAACTATCAGGACCAAGAATTTAAAAAGAGAAAAAAAAAAGAAAAAAGAAAAAACTAAAAAAAAAAACGAAAAGAAGAAAAAAAGAAAAAAACAAAAGAAGAAAAAAGAAAAAACAAAAAAAAACACTAAAGAAAAAAGAAAAGAGAAAAAGGAAAGATAATAAGAAAATAGAAAAAAGAAGAGAGAAAAAAAAGACATTGTGCGTGGCCTATCATGACCTCAGGGCTGGGAGGGGGGGGGGGAGATGCAGTTGGAGGAGGTCGAAAGTCAGAGACAAAGGAGAGGAAGGGAAAAAAGACGGAAAAAAGGGAGAAATGGAAGGAAGTGGAAAAAAAATGAAAGAGACGAAGGGAATTGATAGAAGAAAATGGAGAGGATGGTGATAAAGAAAAAAGGGAAGGAGATAAAAATGAAATGGAGGAGGAAAAGAAAGTGGAAGAAGAAGAAAAAGAGGAAGAGAAGGAGGAGAAGGAAGAGGAAAATGAAGAAATAGAAGGAGCAGAACACGAAGAAGAAAGATGATGAAGAAGAAGAAAAAAAAGGAAGAGGGAGAAAGGAAAGGAACCAGGAGAAAGAAAGAGATAAGGCTGAAAAAAATGCGAGAAGGAGACAGGAAGAAGGAAAATGAAGAAGAATGAGAGACGGGGAAAGGAAGAAGAGAAATGAAGAGGGAGAGAAAGAGACAAAGAATGAAAGAGCATTGGAATAGAAATAAGAAAGAAAAAGGGGACAGGAGAAAAGTCAATAACAAACCTAGGACTAGGAATAAGAGAGTAAATTGAGAGAGGAAAACCAATTCGCACGCAATCACGTGGCTTCAATAAAAAACAAGAAAAAAATGCATCGAGGTACAAACAACTTCAGGAGGATATTTTTTTCTTCTGGAAGAGTGGAGGAAAACAGTGTCACTTTCATGCACGCACACACACACACACGCACACACACGCACACACACACGCACACACACACACACACACACACACATCTAAAAAAGCAACATTACAAAAAAAAAAACTTTACGCCCTATCATACAAAACCTCTAGAAAAAAAAATCAAAAAAATCTTACCATCATTCTTCCCAATACAAAAAACAGACTTTGCACCGAAAAAAAAAAATCCCCAGACAACGAAGCGGCGATTTTCTCCCCTTCTCTCTATACATATATAAACGAAATGGCTTCCATCGGACACACTTTCTCTTTATTGAATCCTCTGAAACAAAAGAGCATCTGAAACCTTTATGGCGTTTGGTATTGAACTCCGTGCAAATACCAGGTTAAAAGTGAATCCTTTTTTGGCGCTTCTGTGAATTGGAGGAAAGGTAAAGAAAGAGAATAAGAGGGATAAAAGAAATAAATGGTAGGAGGGAAATAATACTTGTGAATTTTTTTAGAATTGAGTTAATGAAAAATAACTTGAGGGAAAAAGGAAAGGACAAGGTCAATAAAAAAACAAAAAAAAAAACATTGAAGTGAATGAGAAAACGAAAAAAATAAATGAAAAGAAGAGCGGAAAGAAGAAAAACGAAAAAAAACTTTACGAAAACGAAATAAAAATGAAGAAAATAAAAAGTAAAAGAAAAAGCAGTTATATAACAACCAAAACACAAATCACAAAATAAATAAATTAATAGTCAAGCAATTAGATAAATCAACAGACAGAGAGACAAATGAATAGACAGACAAACATAAATAAATCAATAACAGCGCCAACAAAAGGCAGTTAATCAAAGATCCATCCCCTAAAATCAACAAAGCTCCCCCGCCGCCGTGCCTGGCGTCCCTTCGCAGGCAGAGGCAAAGGCCAACAGCTCGATTTCCAAAGCTCATCCCGCCCAGAGCTCAAGGGCGGAAAAAAACACACGCAGAGGCCAAAAGCTTCATGCACGGGCGGCCAGCACAGCAAGGCCTTTCTCTCTCCTCTCTCTGTCTTTCTCGATCGCTTTGCTTCTCTTCTCCGTTCTTTCTCCTCCTCTCTCTTTCTCTCTAGCAGAAAGCAAGGCAAGGCAAGGCGAAGGAGAGGGAGGGAGGAGATGGGAGAAGAGATGAGGAGAGTGAAGAGGGAGAGGAGGGAGGGAGGGTAAGCCAGGGAGGCAGAAGCCCAAGGGAGCTTCACATAAACTGTACCTGACACATCTATCTGGGGAGGGAAAGGGTGAAGGTAATTTCCGGTCTTAGGACTGCGGTGAAGGTAACATCCTAGGATCCTACACGTTAGTTTCACGGTGCTTGAGAGAGAGTCTATTTATTTGGTCTCTCTCTCTCTCTCTCCCTCTCTTTCTCTTTTTTTTCAATGATACTCGAGTGCTTTATCAGATTTTTTTCTGTACTTAAATGCTTTATCTTATCTTTTATACCTTTTATAATCTTTATTTCTTTATTTTTCCCCCATGCATCTAAAATCGCTTGCAGAGAGCGAATTGAAAATAAATGGCGGAACACTTTTCCCAACGTGTCAGTTTAGAAAAAAAAACATATATTGTCAAAGAAAATCCTTTATCTCGCAGATTCGCACTTGGCATGAGAGTATATATCCTGAATTGCAATCGCAGCTACAGGACCTCTTAGACAGGCGTTGCTAATCCTTCGCAGCATCTGCCAGAGGGCTGCTCTCGAGGCCAGAACTCGGTCCTCCCGCCGGCCGCGCTCACAGGGGCGCCGCCGCAGGTCTCGGAAGGCAACGCGGACGTCGAAATCTGGCATACACTCGGCCTTGCATGTTGCCCGACTGGAAGATACAACACGACGGGGCCCCGGGGTGGACGTCAGAAGTTGCAGCACTGCGAGTCTCGACACAGGGACACGCAGATGACGACGTACATGAGCATGAACATCCCGAACATGACGCACACGCTGAGGATGGAGAACACCACGAGGTCCATCTTGAGGGTCACACATGCGCGCTGCCACAGACGCAGTCCGCTGTCCATCCCGCGCCTTTTCCTGTCACGGGGAGTCGCCCATGCTGCTGCAAGTCGCAATTTCGCCAGCTCTCTTCGCGAATTTGGAGGGTCGTCGCATGGCAACACCGCAGCCAAGGTTGCCGATTCGTGTTTCGCTTCTTCCCGCGCCCTCAGTTGACTTCGGGGAGGTCCTCGTGCTTGGGCTCCTCCGGCTCGACGTCCTCCGCCTTCAGCAGCGGCTGGTCCAGCCCCCGCACGAGGATGACGTCGCTGGGCTTAATCCTAGCCCTGAGCAGCGAGCCGAACCAGTGGCAGAACCGCCTGTAGGCCGAGGGGGGCGGGTTGGTTCCCGCGGTCCTCGTGTCCCAAGAGTTGGGGTTCCTGGGCGCTGGCGAGTCCTTGGCGCCGGCGGGCTGGTCCTTGGCTTCGGCTGCGTGGGCGCCTCGGAAGAAGCTCTTGCTCTTAGGGCTGGCGGTGAGCGCGAGGTCGTCCCTGGGCATCAGCCAGACTCGGGCCGGGGAGTCCTTCATGCTGGGCGATGCCTGGGGCGCTCGGGCATGTGCCAAGCGATCACTAAGGGCCCTCCGTTGCTGGCGATCCGATCTGTTTTTCTGTCATAGGATGCCTCTTTTTCTGTTCCTTTTTTCCTCCAGTTATCAGGATAAATCCCTTTCCTCGTCACATTTGTTTCCGTCTATCTCTTTCTCCTTATCTTAAAGGTGCCTTTACTTTCCGTTTCTCTTTTATCTCAATTATCGGGACATATTACTTCTCTCCTCACATCTCCTTCAATCCCTTTCTCTTTATTTCAAGCAGGTTCTATTTCCGTTTTTATCTTTTCCTCCAGCGACCGTGACGCATTCGTTTCCTCCTCACATCCACCACTCACATCCAAGGTATGCTGCTGGTGTCCTTGTCCTCCACTAGGATATTGTAGACACAGGCGGTAAGACACACGAGAAACACAAGGATCACGGCGACGCTGCCGGCCAGCATGAGCAGAAGGCTCAGATCCATCGCACACATCGGCCGCGTGTCTGATTGGGTACACTCTTTTTAACAAGGATTAATCGGAAAAAAACACGCGATATTAAATGAATTCACAGCACCACAGACTTATCATTCTGTTAACGATGTTTTCACAGAATAAGGATAAGAATAATAACAAGAAAACGCGATATTAGACCACTTAATAGTAACACATATTTAGTATTCTATTAACAATGTTTTATCAGAATATAGAATAAGAATAAAAAGAAAACACGCGATATTAAACCACCTCATAACACCACAGACTTAGCAGTCTTTTAACAATACATCTATTAGAGAAAAACGCGATATTAAACCACTTGAAATCACCACCGGCTCAGCACTTAACACACGTCATAGCACACTAATCAATACGGAAATTGAACTTAAAACCTGAATGAGCAACACCCTAAAGACACCGGGAGCGGCACTGCTCAGCGTCTGAACGTCACGTTATAATCGACGGAGGAGAACTAGCAGACAGCAGGCGAGGCAGCAGAGAGAGAGAGAAGAGGGACGAAGCAAGCTATAAAACGCCAATAATTCAGGCCACTTTCCGCCGTTTTCTTCCCTCGACGACACTTTCCACTGATCTCCTGGCTAAACGCGAGTAATAAGTGATACACTATTAATATCCCCCAACCATATAAAAAAAAAATAATAATAAAAAAATCAATAGAATAAAAAAAAATAATTAAAAAAAATCAGTAATATATAAGATATATATAAGCTTCACATATGGACACGTTTTCTTCTTCACTTAAACTCCCTACTTACTACCTCGCGATGATCTA